TGTTAAAAAAAAAAAAAAAAAAAAAAAATTAGTGCTTGCCCAGGCTGAACTATGTGGAGAAGAAATTCTCAAGCTTTTTGCTGATTGATAAACTAAATATGCTGTTTTTATGAGCGGAATGGATCATATACGTGGAGCAGAAGTTCACTGAACCGAGGAAGGACGAATTGCCCTGGTTGTGAGTCGAACCCAGGTCTGCACTGTGGCAGGGTGCTATTCTGCGTGCTGTACCTGCTCCGTGGGAGGAAAGACACCGTCCGATGGTCCTTGTAGATATTTTAATTATCTTGAGGTGTCAAAGCTGAGGAGAAGTTCTGGTTTTGTGGCTGACATTCTTTTTTGGCTTGTTCGCCTGCCTGTGTCCCCTGTGCCTCTCAGCGAGACCAACTGCAAGGCTCCTATCTATCATGCTTCCTTGGGGCTTCCTGGTTATGTGCAGTTCAGCTCTCCAATTCGGCGTTATGGTGACCTTCTTGCACATTTTCAGGTCAGATATCAAGCTCTATCATTCAAATGCACATGTCTACCAGCAAGGGAAGATAGTGAATCCAAAATTTTGATTGGGTTGGTCCTTATATGGAATGGCCTCGGCAACCGACAATGCACCTGCACAGGGCGCTGCACCGAGGGACCATAAAGACTCAATGTCCTGTATTCTCTAGGCCAAGATCCCTACATGGCTTTAATTTGTGACCTTTTGACAAAATCTCTCTGGTGTTAGGGATATGATCCACGAGCAGACTTGTGAATGAACAGACTAGTACGACCAGTTATGTTTGAACAGGTGATGCGTACTGATTGGATTTGTTTTGAAAGTTGACACCATCCAGAGGTATGTCCATAGATGCTGGAATGAATGGTATTCCCTCCCTCTATCTTAAAGCTAGTTGGCGACAGGCGTGCCGATGTGCAACGACTGAAGGCAGAACAGGAGCTTTGCAATACGTATCTAGTTGTCAGCACAGCATTGCAGTGCAAAAGTGCACAATACACACAGCGGCTTCTGCCTCTGCTGCTGCTGCTGCTTCGGGTGCTTCTGCTTCTTCTTCTTCTTCTCCTCCTCCTCCTCCTTTTCCTCCTCTGCCTGCTCCTCCGCCGCCGCCTCCTTCTTCATGTTGGTGATGCATACCGAGACAACACATCGGCATGTACTGAGGGGATGTGCATGATGGGCGTCCACACACCGAGACAAATCACATGCACATGCACACGCACATGCACACTGATTGGATTCTGTCAGATGGATTGATTTGATATACTAATAATTGGGACTTCTGTTTCTTCTTCCGTCTGGAAGGACGCATGGGCACTCTCCATTTGTAGTGGAATTGGGATGTTAGCCAACAAGATCTTCACCAGGCTCAGAGAGGGTTTGTTGCAGGTGGCATTGCTGTGGGCTTCTATTTGAAGCACATGGAGGCTGGACTGTGACTCTAGGGTGCTTTAACTGGTGGCACTGCTGGCGTAGCAGGGAGGTCTTGTGGTGGAGGCCTGTGGAGTGCGGATGGACGGGTTTGGAGGGCTTTTTTTTGGGGCAGCTTCGCAGGGGCTGTCTGTCAGACCATGCGTGGTGAGGTGGTCGGGAGTCCTTTGCCAGTGGAGCTAGAGCAGTGGGGTCTTTGTTTGTGGGATGCTTTTTTCAGTTGTTGAGTGAAGGTTGCGAGTATGCTGCTTCTTCCCAGCACCTTTTCTCCATATGTGCAAGTGTGCCCTTTGGGACCGAAAGGTTGTCCGGGGTCTCACAAACATGGTCTCTAAACCTGTTTGTAACCCCCCACCCCTCTTTGGTAAGGCTGGATTCTGACTGCTCAGGCAAAGTGCACTCTTGGCCCACAGTTGGAAAGCTTTTGGGGGGGAATCCTTGACCTGTTTTTTACCTGCCCAGTTTTCTGGACATGTGCCCCCCTGCCTGCCGACCCCAGCATGACTGGATAAAAGCTTTTATAGGAGATTGGTCCTTTCAACTCCTTTTCCAGGGACCAAGCTTTGGGGGCTCAAGTTGCACTGCACGGAACAGACAACCTTGACCCCTGCCTTGGGTCTAAGCGGTTCCTTGGGTGGTCCTTTCATCACCATGGCTTCGCGTTCAATTGTCCTGCCTGCTGACATTGAGCTCTAGTTCCTGTCCTCCCTCTTTGGGTCACTCATTTGTTGTTTATCACTTGATGTTGGGATGCCACCCTTCTCATTCCAGCCTTTCTAACCACCTCAGCATGCTAAGGCTGTTGGCATTGGGAAGATGACTTTTCAAAAGGATAGTTGAAAATGAAGGGTTCTACCATTGGAATATCAACAATAGAGACTCGAGCTTTTGGAGGAAAGAGGATGTACCTCAGTAACATTGTCATTGGACTTGGAAGCTGGGCCTAGGGAATGCCTCTTAAGTAGAATGCGAGAGAAGCTCAAGCTTTTAGGCTACGTGGACAAAGAATATAAACGTGACTCTCTTTCTGGCATTTTTGGGTTCTTCATTCTCTTATGCTTCTTCATGTGTATCAGACTATCACGGTTGGCATGTCGCTTTCAGGGAATGTGAGGACCCTTATTATGCTGGCACATATGCGCTGTCATGCAAAAGGGTGGGGTGAGGTATGGGCTTCTCTTGTGACTGCTCGCTTTGCAAAATGTCAGCAAATCAGTGTATTATAAAGGATTTTACACTTTCTGCAGGCGTATCCTTCAAGTTTCCGTGTAACAGAAAAATGTGCATGCCATAAGGTATCCGAAACTCACTAAGGGCAGGATCTGTTGAATTCACTGCATCTAGGCACAACAGAGGTGAGTCTTGTTGAAATTATGAGACCATTGGTTTAAGCCGTAAATTCAATAATAAGTTAATAACAAACAACAGAGTTTGTGGTTCTGAACAGGCATTGCACTGCAGCTGTTTTTTCATGAATGCCTTCTTTATGCACTTTGTTCTTCTTTCCGTGCCTTCAGCTGCATCTTGATTCACATGTTTATCCGCAGTGTGCTGATAGGTTACCGCTGCTGTTGTCTGTGCCCTTCTGTATAACAACTTAATCTCTGACTTGCTCTTGATTCTTCGGATGGTGATTCATTCTCCCACCTTGTGAAGATTAAAGCTGTGCTACGAGGTCAGCCGCCGCCTTTTGGTGCGCAAGATGTGGAGCTTATGATGTCATTTGTTAGGTACGAGAGTGATGTGTGTGCTTCCCATCATTATCATGGATCAAAATTTTATGCATTTGAAGAGCTCTCTCTCTCTCTCTCTCTCTCTCTCTCTCTCTCTCTCTCTCTCTCTCTCTCTCTCTCTCTCTCCTGTCTCGCCTGTCTCTTATACACATCTAGATGTGTATAAGAGACAGCTACGAGACACAGACCAGAAAGACAAGCAACCAAGAAACGGACTTTCATAAGGAACTGGTTGCTAAAAGGCAAGGTGGCAACGATAGTAGACAATAGACTGAGATGGAAGAAATGGCACC